TTTTTTTTTTTTTTTATATTTTTTTTTCTTTTTTTTTTTTTACTTAGGATCTGGCTGGAGGGACGAGTTGAAGCAACGCTGGTACGTCCCTGGATCCTCCCCTGAGTGAAAGGACGTTAAACTTATAAGATTTAGGACAAATGTTTGATATCGATAGCTTATCGAGGATGTTGAAAACCAAGTCAGGACCCCCAAAGTCTAAACCTACGCCAGATACATTCACTAGAATAAGAACCACGAGTGCCACAATGGCTATCAGTCCAAATATTTTCAAGCTGTCATAACAGAAGAAAACGACCAAGTTAACTTAAAATAGTGATTTCTGAGAGAATTATGAAATAATTTTCAAGAAAAATTCTACTCGAGTTAGAAATGTCCATAGTAAAATAAAAAACTAAGAAGAAAGTTGGAAATTGAAAATTGAAAATTTACGAATACAAAAGAGTAAAAATTCGCAGGAATGCAGCAGAATCAAGCCCAGCATGGCTAATAATCTCATCCTCACTCATTTTCAAAGCATGTAGCATCCAATTGAGAAAATTGAATCCCACCGCACCTCCACTGCTCGGATTAGTCCTTGTGCCATTCATATACCATTTGAAGAAGTAAATCCTTTCATTGATGGGCTGAATTTTGAGCAAAGCAAAAGCCAGCAAGATTGCAAAACTACTAAGTAAATTTATCAATACATATACGTTATATCTTTCGCCCTTTTTTTTCCCTGAATTGAAGAGAATTGAAACTGGGTCGTGAAAGTTTTATTAGTGTATCACTACTAGAAATGGAGGCTTTAGAGACCCTTTTTTTTACCAACGGAAGCCATCCATTGCCATTAGTAACGGATTACCAATGATTTTCCAACGAAATGTTATAAAAAATGTAAAACTATAAAATAAATGTGGTGGCAATGGAATTACCGACAAAATATAGCCGTCATTAAGATTTCGTTTTCAATCCGTCGGTAATTTTTAAAAAATATATATATAAAAATCACCAATGACAATTGTGATGTACTGATTGTTGATTGTAAAATTGTAAAAAATGAAACATTAATTGAAATTTACCAACAGATTTACTCGTTGTTAATACACTAAACATATGTTTGTATTATATTCATATTAATTTATTTCGTTGGTGAACAGCGACACCTTATTTCCGTCGCTATTACCGACGGATAATATAAATCCGTCACTCATTTTACCGACGGCGTTTTTATTGTCCGATTTATCGACGGTTCAGCGACACCTTCTTTCTGTCGCTATTACCGACGACTAATATAAATCCATCGCTCATTTTACAGGCGGTGTGTTTACCGTCCGATTTACTGACGAATGAATTCTGTCTGTAAAGGTCTTTTTGCCAACGGATTTCAGGGCTTCAACGACAAGTAATTCCTTCTTTGAAATAGCATTTTTTTTGTAATGTATTGAGAACTCACTCGAAAAATAATTTGTCACCTTCATATACAAAAAATTCTTGTGAGTTTGCTTTGAAAATGGTATGCGTATATAATTCACTCATTTCTAATTGTGAGGTTGCTTTGAATTATTTTCTTCTTACTTAATTAAATTGATAAAATTACTATGACGTTCGAGTGAAATATCGCTCATTTTACTGACGAGGTATTTATCTTTCGATTTGCCGATGGATCAGCAACACCATAAAAGTTGGAAATTGAAAATTGAAAATTTACGAATACCAATGAGTAAAAATTCTCCGGAATGCAGCAGAATCAAGCCCAGCATGGCTAATAATCTCATCCTCACTCATTTTCAAAGCATGTGGCATCCAATGGAGAAAATTGAATCCCATCACACCTCCACTGCTCGGATTAGTCCTTGTCCATTCATATACCATTTAAAGAAGTAAATCCTTTCACTGATGGGCTGAATTTTGAGCAAAGCAAAAGCCAACAAGATTGCAAAAGTATTAAGTAAATTTATCAATCCAGACACGTTATACCTTTCAAAGTCGCCATTTTTTTCCTGAATTGAAGAGAATTGAAACTGGGTCGTGAAAGTTTAATGAGTGTATCACTACTAGAAATGGAGGCTTTAGAGACCGTTTTTTACCAATGGAAGCCATCCATTGCTGTTAGTAACGGATTACCAACGATTTTCCAACGAAATGTTATAAAAAATGTAAAACAACAAAATAAATGTGGTGGCAATGGAATTACTGACAAAATATAGCCGTAATTAAGATTTCGTTTTCAATCCGTTGGTAATTTTTAAAAAATATATATATAAAAAATCACCAATAACAATTGTGATGTACTGATTGTTGATTGTAAAATTGTAAAAAATGAAACATTAATTGAAATTTACCAACAGATTTACTCGTTGTTAATACACTAAATATTTATTTGTACTATATTCATATTAATTTATTTTGTTGGTGAACAGCGACACCTTATTTTCGTCGCTATTACTGACGGATAATATAAATTCGTCACTCATTTTACAGACGGGGTTTTTATCGTCCGATTTACTGACGGTTCAGCGTCACCTTATTTCTGTCGCTATTACTGATGGCTAATATAAATCCATCGCTCATTTTACTGGCGGTGCGTTTACCGTTTGATTTACCGACAGATGAATTCTGTGTGTAAAGGTCTTCTTGCCAACGGATTTCAGGGCTTCAACAATAAGTAATTCCGTCTTTGAAGCAGCATTTTTTTTTTGTAGTGTATTGAGAACTCACTCGAAAAATAATTTGTCACCTTCATATACAAAAAATTCTTGTGAGTTTGCTTTGAAAATGGTATGCGTATATAATTCACTCATTTCTAATTGTGAGGTTGCTTTGAATTAAAAAGAAGAATGAATTAATTTAACTCAAAATTACTATGACGTTCGAGTGAAATATCGCTCATTTTGCCCATGAGGTGTTTATCGTTCGATTTACCGACGGATCAGCGACACCTTATTTCCGTCGCTATCACCGACGGCTAATATAAATCTGTCCCTGAAAGGAATTACCGACAAAACAATTTGTGGTGGCAACAGAATTACCGACAATATATAGCCGTCATTAAGATTTCGTTTTTAATCCGTCAGTAATTTTTAAAAAATATATAAGGTGGTTGTAAAATACAATTTCAAAATTTAAGAAATTAGTTTTATATTTTCAAAAATCTATAAAAATTTCGTTTAACATTATTTCCCTTCCCCTCATCAATTTATATAAGATATAAAAGAATCACGTCTTCTATAGTGAAAGTAGTGGCGGATCTAGAAAAAAAATTGGACACGGGCTAAAACAAAAAAAAAAAATAAAAATAAAAATAAGATTTACACATAATTTTTTTTTTTTTTTACTTAGGACCTGGGCTGGAGGGACGGGTTGTAGCAAAGGTTGGCACGTCCCTGGATCCACCCCTGATTGAAAGGACGTTAAACTTACTTATAAGATTTAGGACAAATGTTTGATATCCATAGCTTATCGTGGATGTTGAAAACCAAGTCAGGACTCCCAAAGTCTAAAGCTCCACCAGATACATTCACTAGAATAAGAACCACGAGTGCCACAATGGCTATCAGTCCAAATATTTTCAAGCTGTCATAACAGAAGAAAACGACTAAGTTAACTTAAAAGAGTGATTTCTGAGAGAATTATAAAATAATTTTCAAGATAAATTCTACTCGAGTTAGAAATGTCCATAGTAAAATAAAAAACTAAGAAGAAAGTTGGAACTTGAAAATTTACGAATACCAAAGAATAAAAATTCGCAAGAATGCAGCAGAATCAAGCCCAGCATGGCTAATAATCTCATCCTCACTCATTTTCAAAGCATATGGCATCCAATGGAGAAAATTGAATCCCACCACACCTCCACTGCTCAGATTAGTCCTCGTCCCATTCATATACCATTTGAAGACGTAAATCCTTTCATTGATGGGCTGAATTTTGAGCAATGCAAAAACCATCAAGATTGCAAAAGTACTAAGTAAAGTTATCAATACAGACACGTTATATCTTTCGCCCTTTTTTTCCTGAATTGAAGAGAATTCAAACTGGGTCGTGAAAGTTTTATGAGTGTATCACTACTAGAAATGGAGGCTTTAGAGACGGTTTTTTACCAACGGAAGCCATCCATTGCTGTTAGTAAGGGATTACCAATGATTTTACAACGAAATGTTATAAAAAATGTAAAACTACAAAATAAATGTGGTGGCAACAGAACTACCGATTGTGAAGTAAAAAATGACACATTAATTGAAATTTGCCAACAGATTTACTTGTTAATACACTAAATATCTTTTTGTATTATATTCATACGAATTTATTTCGTCGGTGAACAATGACACCTTATTTCCGTCGGTATTACCGACGGATAATATAAATCCATCGCTCATTTTACTGACGGGGTGTTTATCGTCCAATTTACTGACGGTTCAGCGACACCTTATTTCTATCGCTATTACCGACGGCTAATATAAATCCATCGCTCATTTTACCGGCGGTGTGTTTACCGTCCGATTTACCGACGGATGAATTCTGTCTGTAAATGTTTTTTGCCAACGGATTTAGGGGCTTCAATGACACATAATTCCATCTTTGAAACATCGTTTTTTTGTTGTGTATTGAGAATTCACTCGAAAAAAAAAATTTGTCACCGTCTTATACAAAAAATTCTTGTGAGTTTGCTTTGAAAATGGTATGCGTATGTAATTCATTCATTTCTAATTGTGAGGTTGCTTTGAATTATTTTCTTCTTACTTAATTAAATTGATAAAATTACTATGATGTTCGACTGAAATATCGCTCATTTTGCCCATGAGGTGTTTATCGTTCGATTTACCGGCGGATCAGCGACACCTTATTTCCGTCGCTATCACCGACAGATAAATCCGTGGAAACTAAAGTCCCACTAATCACAATTTGATGTCCAACTAGATGAGGACTCCTATTAATCCCTATCAACTCAACAACATAAATTAGCTTTAATTAACATATATAATAGCATCTTATGTATCCAATTGTCTGCTATAAGGATACAAAGTCTGTGGTGAGAATATTTGAGTTGTCTGTATATGTTGTAGTTGTTTACACAAAGGGTACTTTTAAGTCTTTAATCGAAAAATGCTTTGAACTCATTTGGTAGAGAATCCCTGTTGGCAAAAAACCTTTACAGACAGAATTCATCAGTCGGTAAATCGGACGATAAACACATCGTCGGTAAAATGAGCGACTGATTTATATTAGTCGTCGGTAATAGCGACATAAATAAGGTGTCCCTAAACCATCGGTAAATTGGACAATAAACACCCCGTCGGTAAAATGAGCGACGAATTTATATTATCTGTCGGTAATTGCGACGGAAATAAGGTGTCGTTGTTCATCGACGAAATAAATTAATATGAATATAATACAAACAGATATTTAGTGTATTAACAACAAGTAAATCTGTTGGTAAATTTCAATTAATGTTTCATTTTTTACAATTTTACAATCAACAATTAGTAAGTCACAATTGTCGATGGTGATTATATATATATATATATATATATATATAATTACCAATGGATTAAAAACAAAATCTTAATGACGGCTATATTTTGTCGGTAATTTTGTTGTCACCTCATTTATTTTGTAGTTTTACATTTTTTATAACATTTCGTTGGAAAATCGTTGGTAATCCGTTCCTAAAAGCAATGGATGGCTTCCGTTGGTAAAAAAACCGACTCTAAAGCCTCCATTTCTAGTAGTGATACACTCATAAAACTTTTACGACCCAATTTCAATTCTCTTCGATTCAGGAAAAAATGGCGACTTTGAAAGATATAACGTACGTGTCTGCATTGAAAAATTTACTTAGTACTATTGCAATCTTGCTGGCTTTTGCTTTGCTCAAAATTCAGCCCATCAATGAGAGGATTTACTTCTTCAAATGGTATATGAATGGCACGAGGACTAATCCGAGCAGTGGAGGTGTGGTGGGATTCAATTTTCTCAATTGGATGCCACATGCTTTGAAAATGAGTGAGGATGGGATTATTAGCCATGCTGGGATTGATTCTGCAGCATTCCTGCGAATTTTTACACATTAGTATTCATAAATTTTCAAATTTCAATTTCCAACTTTTACGGTGTTACTGATCCGTCGGTAAATCGAACGAAAAATACCTCATCGGCAAAATGAGCGATATTTCACTCGAACATCATAGTAATTTTATCAATTTAATTAAGTGAGAAGAAAATAATTCAAAGCAACCTAACAATTAGAAATGAGTGAGTTATATATGCATACCATTTTCAAAGGAAACTCACGAGAGTTTTTTGTATATGAAGGTGACAAATTTCTTTTCGAGTGAGTTCTCAATACACTACAAAAACATGCTATTTCAAAGATGGAATTACGTGTCGTTGAAGCTCCGAAATCCATTGGCAAAAAAAATTACAGACACAATTCATCCGTCGGTAAATCGGACGGTAAACACACCGCCGGTAAAATGAGCGACGAATTTATATTAGCCATCGGTAATAGCGACAGAAATAAGGTGTCGCTGAACAGTCGGTAAATAGACCGATAAACACACCGTCAGTAAAATTAGTGACGGATTTAAAATATCCGTCCGTAATAGCGACGGAAATAAGGTGTCGTTGTTCACCAACGAATTGAATTAATATTAATATAATACAAACAGATATTTAGTGTATTAACAACGAGTAAATCTGTTGGTAAATTTCAATTAATGTTTCATTTTTTACAATTTTACAATCAACAATCATTACATCACAACTGTCATTGGTGATTTCATATATATATATTTTTCAAAAATTACCGATGGATTAAAAACGAAATCTTAATGACGGCTATATTTTGTCGGTAATTCCGTTGCCACCACATTTATTTTATAGTTTTACATTTTTTATAACATTTCGTTGGAAAATCGTTGGTAATCCGTTACTAACAGCAATGGATGGCTTCCATTGGTAAAAAACCGTCTCTAAAACCTCCATTTCTAGTCGTGATACACTCATAAAACTTTCACGACCCAATTTCAATTCTCTTCAATTCAGAAAAAAATGGTGACTTTGAAAGATATAACGTGTCTGTATTGATAAATGTACTTAGTACTATTGCAATCTTGCTGGCTTTTGCTTTGCTCAAAATTCAGCCCATCAATGAGAGGATTTACTTCTTCAAATGGTATATGAATGGCACGAGGACTAATCCGAGCAGTGGAGGTGTGGTGGGATTCAATTTTCTCAATTGGATGCCACATGCTTTGAAAATGAGTGAGGATGGGATTATTAGCCATGCTGGGATTGATTCTGCAGCATTCCTGCGAATTTTTACACATTAGTATTCATAAATTTTCAAATTTCAATTTCCAACTTTTACGGTGTTACTGATCCGTCGGTAAATCGAACGAAAAATACCTCATCGGCAAAATGAGCGATATTTCACTCGAACATCATAGTAATTTTATCAATTTAATTAAGTGAGAAGAAAATAATTCAAAGCAACCTAACAATTAGAAATGAGTGAGTTATATATGCATACCATTTTCAAAGGAAACTCACGAGAGTTTTTTGTATATGAAGGTGACAAATTTCTTTTCGAGTGAGTTCTCAATACACTACAAAAACATGCTGTTTCAAAGATGGAATTACGTGTCGTTGAAGCTCCGAAATCCATTGGCAAAAAAAAATTACAGACACAATTCATCCGTCGGTAAATCGGACGGTAAACACACCGCCGGTAAAATGAGCGACGAATTTATATTAGCCATCGGTAATAGCGACAGAAATAAGGTGTCGCTGAACAGTCGGTAAATAGACCGATAAACACACCGTCAGTAAAATTAGTGACGGATTTAAAATATCCGTCCGTAATAGCGACGGAAATAAGGTGTCGTTGTTCACCAACGAATTGAATTAATATTAATATAATACAAACAGATATTTAGTGTATTAACAACGAGTAAATCTGTTGGTAAATTTCAATTAATGTTTCATTTTTTACAATTTTACAATCAACAATCATTACATCACAACTGTCATTGGTGATTTCATATATATATATTTTTCAAAAATTACCGATGGATTAAAAACGAAATCTTAATGACGGCTATATTTTGTCGGTAATTCCGTTGCCACCACATTTATTTTATAGTTTTACATTTTTTATAACATTTCGTTGGAAAATCGTTGGTAATCCGTTACTAACAGCAATGGATGGCTTCCATTGGTAAAAAACCGTCTCTAAAACCTCCATTTCTAGTCGTGATACACTCATAAAACTTTCACGACCCAATTTCAATTCTCTTCAATTCAGAAAAAAATGGTGACTTTGAAAGATATAACGTGTCTGTATTGATAAATGTACTTAGTACTATAGCAATCTTGCTGGCTTTTGCTTTGCTCAAAATTCAGCCCATCAATGTATTGATAAATGTACTTAGTACTTTTGCAATCTTGCTGGCTTTTGCTTTGCTCAAAATTCAGCCCATCAATGAAAGGAGTTACTTCTTGAAATGGTATATGAATGGCACGAGGACTAATCCGAGCAGTGCAGGTGTGGTGGGATTCAATTTTCTCAATTGGATGCCACATTCTTTGAAAATGAGTGAGGATGAGATTATTAGCCATGCTGGGCTTGATTCTGCCGCATTCCTGTGAATTTTTACTCATTGGTATTCGTAAATTTTCAATTTTCGATTCCCAACTTTTAAGGCGTTGCTGATCCGTCAGTAAATCAAACGATAAATACCTCGTTGGTAAAATGAGCGATATTTCACTCGAACGTCACAGTAATTTTATCAATTCTATTAAGTAAGAAGAAAATAATTCAAAGCAACCTCACAATTAGAAATGAGTGAATTATATACGCATACCATTTTCAAAGCAAACTCACAAGAATTTTTTTATATGAAGGTGACAAAATTTTTTTCAAGTGAGTTCTCAACACAGTACAAAA